TTCTTCTAATTACACCCTTTTCCCTCCAATTTTGTCACGTAAAAACCCCTCCCCCCACCAGCCTTACCACCTTCCCTACCGCCACCCTGCCAGCGATCGGCAACGCCAGCGGTCTCCGGTGCCTTGCTGACCTTTCCCCTCCATTTTCCCCTTACCCCGACCTTCCCCTTTACCTGCCGCGCGACAACCAAACGTCCCAGCAAAACCCTAGCCCTTTCAACCCCATCCCCTTCTTTCATGAGAGCATGAAAATCAATCATAGAATTCTCAAAAGAAGAACACTCATGATCATCATCTCCCTCAAACATCCAACTTCCAAGAGGAACTACATAATCCCCTTCACTACAACCATGAACAACAACTCCCTTAACTTCCTTAAAGCCTAAAGTCTCAAAGCCATGCATGAATGGATGCAAATTCATTTCAAACTCATCTCTCTTCCATGAAGAATTCTTAATGAACTCACTCAAAAGGCTATGGATTTTTATTTGACACTCAAATAACACATTGGTCATAACCTCAATCGAGTCCAAATACTCATGGATAGAAGGATCACAATCATGCATAAGAGACTCATCAATATGGGAAGTAGGGTTGAGGTTATCAAAATCAACACTCTCTTCATTCTCAACTCCTTCACCATCACTCAAATGCTCACTAATGGGATCCTCACACTCTCTTGGTTGCTCAAAATCATCATCATCATCATCCTTAACACACTCATTAAATTGGGATTTTTCACAAACAAGCATCAAGGATGACAATTGGCTTTCTAACTCTTCTTTTCTTCTCCTTCCCTCCTCAAGACGCTCCTCACTCTTTTTCATTTTCTCTAAATGACCTCTCATAAAATTAAGAATCATCTCCTTACTAGGACCAAACTCATTATCAAGCTCAATGCACCTAATTTGAGACTCAAATATATCAACAAGAGATTCAAAAGATGTAGAAGGTTGAGGTTCAACAAAAGAAGAAGAAGAAGTACAACCAAGATTGGAAGAATCAACATTAAGTTCATGAGCATAAAAATCACATTGGGGAGTGGGGGCACAATCAAACACATGAGATTCATCATCAAGAGAATGAAGCACATCACAAGAAGGCATAGTAAATAATGAAGAATATTGAAACACACCATTAGCATCAACTTGAGCATGCACTTCATCATCATGAACAAAAGGAGAAATAGAATTGAAATCATGTGTTCTAGGTTCACTTAAGGGATCATGTGGAAAATCATGGGAATTCATGCTAATATTAGAAGAATCAATACAACACATATCAATATTAGAAACATGATTACCCCTATCATAGACATCCCTAGAAAACCAAACATAAAAATCCCAAGCATCATCAATAGACAATGCTCTAAATTCACCATTATGCATACATTCAACTTCATTTCTAGTTTGCTCATTCAAACCAAAATAGCAAATCTCACAAGCTCCCAAAGACTACAACAATTATAGTCCAAAAAAACCCTCAAGTCTAATGAAATATTCACAAAAAGGCTCATTGTCAAATTGAGGAAATGAGAAACATGCCATTTTTTTTTTCACAAAACAAACAAAAATCAAATAAAAGAAAACTATATGCAAAGACCTAGATTCAAGCAATAAAAAACACTCAAACATAGACACCGTTCCTCGGCAACGGCGCCATTTTGACGAGGAGTGGAACTAGGTCGTTGTATCTAATCCTTCCTCGTTCAAACTAAATTTATAAACACTTAACAAACCTATATACAAGTATAGAGGCAAGTCATGGGTCGAACCCAAAGGAACGGTAATGTTCAAGCGCTCTCAATTATGCGCCTAAGCTAGGTAAAAGACATAGGTAAAGAGAGAACACTAACAACTAACAAACAAAGAAACCAAACAAATAAAGCACTAGGAACGGGATTAACAAGAAATCATGACAATTGTAGAAACTCGGGAACAATATGCAAATCAATGGTTGTGAAGAAAAATGGAAAGTTCAATCAAAAGAGTCAACAAGCTATCTCCTAGAGGTCAAACCATCGCCAACTATGAGAGACTCTAACTAGGACCATCACTAGTCAAGCTCAATTGACAATTGCAATTCCTAAATCAATGGTCCGTATCATTAGAAACTACAATGCAATCTAGCATAATTCTCAAGGCCAAATCAAATTACACACATGCAAACTTCCATTAATCACTTTAATCTCAACAATTAATCAACACAGTCCCCAAATTAAGCACAATAAATCAATCATACAAGTTTCACCCAATTCCTAGCAAACAACCACTCTAACATCATCATCAAATCAACTAACAACTAAATAAATCAAGAATCAACAATATATGAAGAACAACTACACTAATCAACAATCAAACATCAAAATCAAACCAAACAAATGTGAAATCAAATAAAGCAATAAAATGAGATAGAGTTAAGAATGTTCATTGATAATAGAGAAGATTTCCAACACAATTGTCACCATTGAATCTTCAATCTCTCAATCACCATTGAAATTCCTCACTTTCTCTCTCTAAAATCTACTCCTAAACTAACCTTAAAACTAGAGAGAGAAGCTCTTAATTAAGCTAAGAAAAATGAATTCTAATTCTAATTCTAATCTCTAATTCTACTTCTACTTCTACTTGTTTCTCTCTCTAATCCAAAAATGGGCATTTATAATTACAAGGTTAAAAGAAAATAAAAGAGAAAAGAAAACAAAAGAAAAATAAAAGAAAAGGAAATGAAACAAAATAAATAATAAAAGAAAAAGAAAGTAAAAAGGAAAACTAAAAATAAAAGGGAAATAAAAGAAAGTTTCGATTTTGGCTGCTTCATAAGAGTGGGATTTTATCCCCTGCCACGCACTCATACATCCATCATCAACTTTCGATCTCAATTTCCATCAAGATCAACGGCTCAAGTTCAAACCCATAAAGGCGCGGCCGCGATGTAAGGTTGCGCGCCCGCGGTGAATGTGTGCGCGGCCGCGTTAAGTGAGGTTCGAAATGAGCTTGTTTCTGTGACTCTGAGTGCAGTGGCCGGAACAGGGGAGCTACTTTGTGGCTGCGGTTTGCAGAGGACTAAGGTGGTGATGGTGGCTGCTGCTTGGTGTGGTTGTTGTAGTTGTTGGTGAATTGGCAAAGGAAAGGAGGTGCGTGAATGGTGGATTTGGTTGCTGATTGGTTTTTGCGGTTGTTGGTTAATGTGAGTTGGGTGTGAGGAAGGCAGCAGCTCGGTGGTTTTGGGTGGCAAAGATTGGTGGTAGTTGCGGGGTCATTTGTAGTTGGAGATGTATGGGCTACCGGAGTTGATTGCGGGAGCAGGGGATTGTGAGGTATGAGGGGAGTTGGTGGGCACGAGCAACATCCTCACAGCATGCTCGTGATGAACACTAAAGTAGGCAGTCCCTAAACACCATGATTGTGGGTGCAACACTACTCGGCTTGTGAGCGCGGCTTTGCAAGCGATAGGAGGTGAACTTGGAATATCCACCTACAAAATACAAATGAAACCAAGGATAAAATGAAGTAAAATAAACTCAAAATTAACAAACAAAACTAAGAGAAATAAAATGAAAATGAAAAGAATAAAAGAAAAAAACAATATAAAATGAAAAGAAAATAAAGGAAAGAAAATGAAATGAAAATGAAAATGAAAATAAAATAAAATGAAAACTAAAATAAAATGAAAACTAAATCTATAAAATCTTAAAAAAAGGAAAAGCAACTAAAAAAAGACTAGAAAAACCATCAAAATGCACAAAAGCCATAAAATAAGAGAGGAAAGGTAAAATAGAGAGAAAAAACATAAAACTAAATATTTATTAAGAAAGAAAGCTATGAAAAGAAGGTAAAAACGACTTAAATGCTCATCAAATGGGTGCCATTTATGACACCCATCAGGTCTTTGCAAAAGAACAGTGGGAACATCAGTCGGTTTTTTTTTATTAAGGGGGAGATAATTCTCGTCCCAATCCCTCTATGCATCCGATAAGTCCGCTTGACCCACATCCTCTAGGCATAGTGGCGTCGCCACACTCTGAATTTCTCGCAACCCCCTCTGAGTTTCCCAATATGTTGCATTCACTTGAATTCCCACCACCTCGTCTTGAGTTATGTAAAGGACCATTGGATGATGAGGATTTGAAATTTCTTGGCCGTGACTTGCGAATACCAATAGAATTATTGGAAACCCTCGTGGGATTACCAATGGAGTTTGAACATCCCGCTGCACTATTCTCGGAATAACTTAAGCTTCTTCTTTCCTTTTGAGTGAGTCCAGAAGTAAGAGAGCTCCTCGAAGTTCCATGTTCAGAGATGTCCGGTTTTTGTTGATATGGAATTTCGGAACTTCCAGAAATAGGTTCAAGATGGTTGATGGGGTTTGTAATCGGATATGGGTACGAAATTTCGACTTGCATGTCGTCGGGGTTCTCAGGGGAACAAGGAGCTGGTGCATTTCTGTTACTCTTTGGGGTTGCGGCTTGATTATCGGTGATGGAATTGGTATCAATTTCTCGGGTGACTTTTTGTCCGTCAGCGAGCTTAGACGAGGTATTTTCTGGTTTTGATCCATTTGCTACATGGGATAAAATAGGGGAGGAGATGGTAGAAGAGGGAACCACGAGTTTAGCAGTGCTAGGGTTTTCTGGAGTTAACAGAGGAGAAAATGAATGGAGTAAAGAAGGAGATCGAGGAAATATTAATAGCTCTTGGAAGAGTTAAAGCATTCGAATTTAATGACATGTGTTGGAAATTGTCTTTAGCATGGATTACTGACAAAGATTCAGTATTTGAACTTTTGCTTGTAACAACTTCCAAAATCTTTTCCTTATGTTCAACATTCTTCAATTTATTTCCAATGAGAATGTCCTACTGGGACTTATGTGAAGTAGAACTTTCACTTAATTTTTTTTGCTTCTAAGATTGAGAAAGAGTGATTTTTTTGGAAGTAGTGGGGGCTATTTTTTTAATTATTATTATTATAAAATTTTTTATCAGAAGCTCCAAAAGAACTTAAAGGGTTGACTTTTTTGGGAATTTCTTTTTTGTATTTTCTTTTTCATCCACAGCTGGCTTTTTCTTGTTGGATCTCCTATTAGTAACAAGAGTCCAAGGCCCATAATCAGAATAACCCAACTCTTTAATAAGTGTCACATCTTGACAAGCAACAGAGTGAGGTGTACAATGGGCTGGGTAAGAAGGGCCTGCCAAACCTTTAGGATTAGAGCTCGGAGCAGGAAGAACAGGGCTTTCATCAGATTGATTCTCTGCTCCTGAACAACTATTGAGAGAAGGAGATGCACACTGATCCTTGGAATGCCACACCCTGCCACAGCTAAAACATAAAGAGGTAATATTCTCAAAGACAACCGATTGCCAGGCTCCACCAATCCATAATTTAGTGACTGACGGATTATTCAAGTTAACTTCAACACAGACACGTGCATATCTTCCTCGAGTGGTCTTATCTGTTGCATAATCGACTCTAATCGATTTTCTAACCAATTTGGCTATATCAAATAAAGCAAGCTTGTCATAGTACTCCACAGGGAGGTTAGGAAATCGGATCCAAACCGCCATTTGATCAAAATAATTTGATTCAGGTCTGTAGTTCGGTTTCCATTTAGAGATCATCAAGTAATGATCTAAAATGAACCATGGACCACCGAACAAAGCACGTTCATAGTCATCCATAAGAGAAAAACTAAATAAGATAACATTTCGTCCCAGATGAATAGTCTCAAGGGTACCCTTGATTTTCCACATAATTCTTGCTTGAGTGTCCATGAACTGAGGCCTAATAGAAACACCAAGACACTTTCCCATTAGATGAGATTACATGGTTGCCTTAATCGATGTAAAGTCTCCTTTGAGAATTGAACGGACAAAGCTTGATCAGGAATCATATCCTCTTGATCGTCCCAATCATTTGAAGAATTAATAATTTTCCTAGATTCTTCAAACCATTGGGAAGAAGAAGCCACAACTTCTCTGAATTTGAGAGACGATTGCACAACTTGCAAGCTATTCGAATTGGGAAGAAAAAGAGGAGGAGGATCATCCTCCATGATATTGTATAAGAGCAAAATATTTTAAAGAGAAAACAGAGCGAAATATTTTAGAGAGAGAATAGAGCGATAATCCCTTTACTATGTGATAAAAGTCTTGTAGATACATGGGTTGTATAAATTTTACATCAAAAGTTCAATCACCCAACCTATATAATAAGTAGGTCTTGTCAGGTCAACCTACATAAATGGGATGAAAACTTTGACCTCATACCGACCGATAATCTCTTGTGAAGAAGCTTAAGATGTATTTTTGGGTTGTGTCAATTTAACTTCTTTATAGAGCTATCAATTCCATTAGGTTTTATTTAATAATGACCTAAAATAAATTCCTAAGGCCCTGTTTTCTTCACCTTAAAAAATAATATTAAGTAAAAATAATTTCAATTCAGTAAAAATTAGTTCAGTTCAGTAAAATTAATTTCAGTTCGGGAAAAATAATTTCAGTTCAGTAAAAATAAGTTCAGTTTAGTAAAATTCAGTTTTCTTAAAGAAGAATTATAATAGAAAATCAGTAAAAATAATTTCAGTTCAGCAAAAATAATTTCAGTTCAGTAAAATTAATTTAAGTTCAACAAAAATAATTTCAGTTTAGTAAAAATAATTTCAGTTCAGGAAAATTAAGGTGAAGAGTACGACGCCTAAGTATATACCTATTAATCTAATTGTGTTACTCATTTGATATATATAATAGCTAGCTACTAATAACTGCACATATACAATTGGTTGTTTACTTTTATTTATTACTTATTTTAAACTTTTCAACTAATTGGACCATATTTATTTTTAACCCATAATATAAGATCTTGGTGTTTAAATATTGTTTGAAACTATTGATATAAATTATTTTAATTAATGTGTAATCCACCCATCATGTGCATAGAACAACTAAATGAATACTCCCTCCGTTTTTAAATACTTGCTCCATTTCTATTTTTTGCACTATTCATTTGTCATACTTTGACTAATGTTTGTGATTTATACATAAGAAAAAATATAGTCTTGTGGATACTTGTTGGAATCATCTCAATGAATAGATTATTAATTTTCAATTTCTTATTGATAATTAAATATATTAGTTATCAAAGATTAGCATCGACATGCGTATCCAAGAGAAATGAAGCAAGTATTTAAAAACGGAGGGATTATATGATACTCTCTCCGCCCCCTATTGATAGTCTCTTTATGGGCATTTTTCACGGGAATTAATAAACACAAATAAAAATAGTAAAAGTACATTGAAAAAGTAAATTGACATTGGATATGCAAAAAAGTTAAGAGAGAAAGTAATAAAAGTACATGGGAAAGTTAAATTTGCACAAATATTGTTGCAAATTGGAAGGAATTTTGGTAAAAAAAATTAATATTTATGGTTGTTAGAAAAAGCAAATGGGGTGAACATTTTGGGACTAAAATAAAATTTGCCCATAAGGGACTATCATTTGGGGACAGAGGAATTATGTGGTTGTATTGTACAACTAATTTAATGATAATTATTGCCCACATTCATTGTCTTTATTACTCCCTCCATTTCTTAAAAATGTCTCACTTTGACATTTTGCAATAATTATATAATTTACTTTCACCGATGTTAGTGATTAATCACACTCGTGTGAAAACTTGTTGGAATCATCTCAATGTATAAGGGCCTTTTCTGATTTACTGAGCTGACCTGAATGGAATATTTTATGAGAGGAGGATATTAGGAACTGAACTGAACCAAGCTGAACTTGTAACACCCCCAAATCTCCCTCTACGGAAATACCAGTATAATACATATAATTATACTGTAGAGATAGACTTGGGCGTATTACCGCTGCGTGATTACGCAAGGCTACTCAAATACTCAATAACATAACTTGCAGCGGAAAACTCAACTTTCTTTTATTAATGCTTATAAAAATAATAACATTGTTATGAGTACTCAAAATAAAGACAAGACCAACATTCCTAAACTAGGTGAAGCAAATCCCAGGACTCCCGTATGCTCATTCATGACTCCACCTGAAAATAGCCAACACTGCTTACTATAGACACCCAAATGTGTCTCCCTAAAACCAAACCCAGTGATGAATACCTTTCACGCCATTTGATTATCGAATAAAGCGAAAGTGTGAAAAGTCTAGTGATGAGGATGTTTTTATTAAAATATCTATTCTTTATGTTTTTAAAAATATTTCTTTTCTTACCTTATTTATGAAAAACGTGCATTCCAGTTTAGTTTGGTCCATGATAAGGGTCCAATAATTATGTAGTTGGATGGGGTTTGAAAAGACCTCCAACGATATATTATAATCCCAATTCCGATGAATAATGAGAAAGTTATGGCCAAAATACTAAACTAGGCCCGATTTGGTTTTTATATGCGGCCCAATGATCTAGAGGAGGGCCTATTATTAATTACCATTCCTAAAGCTATTAGGATTGATTATAGTCTTCTAGAATACTCTAGAAAGTTCTTTTAAATCCTAATGGAGTTAGGATTGATAATTTTGTTTTAAAGAGTTTGAAATTGAATAAAACTACTCCTTTTTAGAATCCTTGTTTTGTACGAAGTTGAATATATTCAGATTTTATTTTTGTGCTTCATAATTTTTATCAAAATTTTATATGGTTGGATAGATCTTGAAATTATATTTCCAATTACATATTATAATATTAAATCCAAGCTATAACGAAAAAGATATGAATGGAATATGAAACTCTATCCAAAACTGACACTCTTCCACTATTTAGAAAATATGTTTTTATCTACAAAATATTTTAATATTATTCTGATTGGGTTAGAAAGTAGACTTCAAGAGCTTTCCAAAGACATATTATATGACTTATTTGGACTTTTGGATCAAAAGATATGATAAAAACAAAATCCGCAAAAATGGTCTTGCAGCGCTGGACGACAGGACTGTCGCCTGGCGACCTTGGCGTTTGGCGCTGCACTGCAGCGTTTGGCGACAGGCGCGTGTTTGGCGTTCTGGTCGTGTTTTATTCTTTTCGAAACTCTGATTCGTTTTTTTTATCATATCCAGCTGATTTTCTCTATAAATAGCCTCATAAAACCTCTATTTTCAATCATCAATTTTCATCAATTCACTCTATCACCCTCTCTCATCAAGAATCTCTTGATTACTCTCTCTCTCTTTTTTCTAAACTAGCCTTTTTCATACAAAATTCCACATTCACAAGATCTAGAAACACTTAGCCAAGTTCGAAGTTGCCTTCGCCCTAGACGTGAAAGGTTTTAATTTCTGAGGGTTTGGTCCCTAATCTCTATTTCAATTATTTTAATTTAATTGTTTGTTTGATTATTTTTCTTGAAGTTACTAACGCGTGTATTTTGTAATTAGAAAGAGGTACGAAGCATCCAAGTAAGTGCTTTAATTAATTTTATTGATATTATGATTTAAAAATCATGTTTAGATTGTTATTATGATTCCTAGTATCATGTTTAGGGTAATAACTATAATTTCTAAGATCAAATATGACAATTGTGATTCTTGTGATGCTTCCTATTTCTTTCCTAATATCATGTTAGTATCATGTTAGGGTTAAAGCTTTGATTTTTATATGTTTAGCGACATGCTAGGGTTTGTTATTAATCTTGTTAGTATCATGCCTAGGATCTATCTTGCTATTATTATGTTTTAACATGATTATGATTGTTATTATTATTATTATTATTATGTTTATGATTATTATTATGTTGCTTGATTATATTTATTATTATTATTACTTGATCACGCCTTTTATGCATGTTTAAAGGGAATTGGTACCTATAATCACACTTAATAAGATAATTAATAATCTTGTTTAGGGTTAATTTGATTATAATTCAAGTGATCGCCAATAATAGTTTTGTTTGTGCATTAATATTTAACCAATATAGATAAACAGGTTTAGGGTAAACCTATTGATTGCATGTTAAGCGCACATGAATACGACCAGAATAAAGTAGGGGCCTATTATTAGGGCAGGTTCAATCTCTTTTAGGTTGGATTTATACCTTCATCCCCAAACTACCAGTCATGGTTCCAAGCCTATTGGAGTTGACGATCTCCTAGATCGTTATGGGGTGTAACTTTTACCTCGTGAACGGTTTACAAGTTCCTAAAACTTGTTGGCGACTCTTTTGCTCTATCTTCCTTCCCTTTGGATGCCATCATGCTTAAGTGTATGATCACAGTGGGGTTCAAGTTTGGGGTAATGCTTGAAATATTCCCTACACTTACCATTACGGTAAACAGGGAGAACCAAAACAAATAGGAAATACGGATTAGAAAAATATGCTAATTTAAGTACGATAAGTGCAAGATAATGAGAACTCAATTTATTTGCAAACATGCTTTGAAAATCAATTCCAATAATTAATCTAATGAATTCCAAACTCATTATTCCAAAATCAATTTCAATGGTTCAATAATCAAAATAATTAATAAAACCAATTCCTTTAAAAATCCAATTCCTTTATTAAGAACCAATTTCTTTTAATTCAATTCCTCACCCAAATGTGCACACCCCTCCAAGCTAGTCTCTTTATATTACAAGACTATTCTTGAGGAAAGACCCGGTCATACAAAGTCCAAGACCTTATCAATAAACCAAATCCGTATAGTGGGATCACCAACATGCTTATAAAGCATTAATAATAATAATAATAATAATAATAATAATAATAATAATAATAATAATAATAATAATAATAATAATAATAATAATAATAATAATAATAATAATAATAATAATAATAATAATTCTTCA